GTGGCAAAGATAGGGCTGGGTTGGTTTGTGTGGCTGAACAGTCCTTTCCTAAAAGGACTCTTTGGTGGCATTTCAGAGGCTGGGGAATGACCAGAGCAGACAGAGAGTGTGGGAAGCGTTGCTGCATTAGGGTGAGATTTATTTTCACTCACACGAGGTCCCTGACATAGTTGTCCCTTTGAAGACTTTCAACACCAGCTCCTGGGACTTGCCAGAGGGCAGCTGGCAGCAGGGAGAAGGGCAGATGCCACATGCCACCTCTGAGCATGTCCCTGTGCTTCCTACGGGTACTCCAGCCATGCCCATAGTTCATCAGTCAGTCCTAACGTGCACTTAACTTATCCAGGGACAACTGTTTCCTTCCTCCAACCCTCACTCTCAAAAACAACTTCACAAATGACCCCAAAGGGAAAAAAATCCCAACTCTCACACTTTTCAGGGCAGGAAGAGGATCAATCTCCTGCTCTGGAGGCACTCTGCGTTTGCCTCAACAACCAGATCATTTGCTGCTATTGCTTGTGGGAGTCTCAGGACACTCCTAAGGGAGGAGAAGGACTTTAGCTCTACCTTTTAGCACACCCAACCAAAATGTGGACTTCGCATGGGAATAAAAGAATCCAAACGTGAGCTCCTTTCCCAGCTGTCACAAGCAAGGAACGAAAGCTCCGTGCTATACACCCTGCATTTACCTAAAGAAGGTGTGTGTTTGGTCCAAGAGAAGTGCAAATGGTATTAAACAATCCCAAGAGATCACAACAAGCACATGCACAAGTCAAGCTGAAAAAGAAAAAAAAAAAAAAAAAAACAAGAAACCCAAAAAACAACCAGGAGTTCAGGCAAGGGGTGTTGCAAAGACAGCAATTTTTTTAATTAGCTGTCTGAGTAAAGCCCTGCACTCTTGCCAAGAAGGAAAGGAAAGTCTTTGCCTGGGGCGACAGGTCACATCTAGGCTCAACCTCATAACACCACATGCCTTCACCCCACCCAAGGGCCTCACTGGGAGCTGGGGGGCTTTGCAGTGAGGCACAGGAACAACAGAAATGCCGTGGCATTCACACTGACACAGGGCAGGGTTACATCTGATATTAGGGAGAAATCCTTCCCTGTGAGGGTGGGCAGGCCCTGGCACAGGCTGCCCAGAGAAGCTGTGGCTGCCCCATCCCTGGCAGTGTCCAGGACCAGGTTGGACGGGGTTTGGAGCAACCTGGGCTAGTGGGAGGTGTCCCTGCCCATGGCAGGGTATTAGAATGAGGTGCTCTTGAAGGTCCCTTCCAACCAGGTCCCTGCCCACCTAAGCAGGGTCATATCCCAGGCTGACATCCAGACCCAGCACCGGCTGTTTCTCCTGGCATTACCCAACCCTCCCCTGGTAGGGTGGGAGCTGATGGAGCGCTGTGTCCGCAGGCAGGGCTCACCTCCTCACCTGCACCCTTCCCACAGCCTGCCTGCCCCGAGCACCTTCCCAAGCCCTTTCCCATGGACACAGCCAGCTGCACCCCGACAGCCTCTCCGACGGGCCCCCAGCTATGCATGTTTGCAAACGAAGCAGTAATTAGTTCTGTGTTAAATTAATTTACCTCTGCAACTGCACTGTGTGGGACCTAAACACGCTCCCTGCAGGACTGCAAGGGCAGAAGAAGGCCTGCTTCAGCTGACCCCGCCACCCAGGACCAAACCACGAGCCCGCCGTCCGGTTCTTGAAGATCAAAACACCAAAACTCCCGTTTATTCATGGCAAAGTCTCCCTGACCGCCTTCCCTATGTAAATACCAATACAAAAAAACCTAAGCTCTTTGGCCATCCTGCCTGGTACTTCTCAACTACAGTTGTTGCTCTCACTGTGGTGAACTGAAGCTAAAAGCTTCTGGAAAATCAGGAAAGAAACTGGATGGCTGAAAAATCCAGTAACACTAATAGGAAGACTCTTGGCACAGCCCTGCCTGCGCTGCATCTGCTGTGCTAAGTAGGTTCATTTATTTCCATCCTGTAGCTGTCTCCTGCTATTTATAGCTGTTGCCTTAATGAACTTTCGAGGTAGACACCAAGCCTGAGCCTTCCTAAATTGATGTTTAAATATCCTTGTTCAATTAATTCGATCCTGTTATGAACGGACGGTCCCATAGCCGGACTGGCAACTGCCGCTCCTCACTGGAAATCACAGAGTCACAGAACGGCCTGGGCTGGAAGGGACATTAAAGATCACCCAGTTCCAACACCCACCTTCCACTAGCCCAGGTTGCTCCAAGCTCTGTCCAAACTGGCCCTCTCTCTTTCTATATGGGTCCTCTCATCTCTCTTTTTAGGGATTCCAAAATTTACATTCTGCAGTTATATTTATCCACCTGGCAACATTCTGACTTCTGACCAAAATGAGGTTATACTCTCTTCAGGGATGCAAGCACTGAGAGAATTCTATTCCGCGGCAGCAACAATTTGTCAGGCACACAAGTGATTTTAACCAAGTCAGTGAAAGTATTGCAGCCCCTGGGTTTGGGCCAGGGAGGTGAGCCAAACTGACTTGGAGGGCAATCACACAAGGAGAAGAAACCCCTTCCTAGATCAAGCAGAGATGCATTTCCTCGTGGGAAAATCTCTGCACGTCTGTAGTAAAGAATGAGGAAGAGGGAAATGGACTCAGAGAAACTTCTGTCTGCCTTTCTTGTTCCTCCCTTGTCTCATCCCTCACAAGCAGCAGCAAACTACCCCATCCTCTTCTTGCTGAGATTTAAGCACTGGCCCACCCGATGAGGCAGCACCAGGCAGGATAACCACTGCTAAAAAGTGTTTCCTCCTTGCTGGCCCTAAGTGGAAACCAGGGCCGGGCTGGTTAAAGGAGGTGCTGGGATGTTTCACCTTGGGAGAGGGATTTGTCATCGTCTGCAGTGTCAGCAGTCCTGCTTGAGAACCAGGGTGTGAGCACTGAAGTTCTGTGAGCGCAGAGACAGCCCCTGCAGGCCTGGAATGTCCTGAAAGGGTTCTGAGGAGGGAACATCGCCTTCCTGCCTCCTCCTCAGTCTATCACAGCAGCCCTGTCTGGATTTGTGAAGGAGGCATCTTTCCCAAGCAGTAATTTCCTTAGGATAAAACAGATCTGTACACGTTCGATCTCCAGATGGGAGAGCTGAAGGTTGTCTATAAACTACTGAAGTTTGGCTTGTTTGACTAAACTGGCCACAGATTAAAAAAAAATGACTGATGTTTCCAGACTGCACTGATTCCCAAACACAGAGGTGCAGTGTGACCAGTTTGGAACCGGGACAAAACTTTTCTAGGGAAGGTTTGCATTTCTGGACCTGTTTACCGTGTTCCCAGTATCCACAGACATGTTCCATCGGGTTCAGTTGTTGTGGGATGAACAGCTTGACCTGGTGAGTCAGATCCAGATTTGGTGCAGTTTTCACCAGAGAAGCTGACAAATCATTTTCAGGTAAGATATCATGGTCCTTAGGGACAGATCAAGAAATTCAAGTACCAATAACTACATCAACAGTACTTTCATTCCTGCTCTGCTAAACTACACAGCCCTTACCCATATTTCAGCTTCTGATACCCCACCCTCTCTCCTGACAGCTGCCTCAGATATATGTAATATAGTTCACTCCACTTTTCTCCCAGCTCAAAGTTGCTGCTCAGTATTTCCCAGATCTTTGTTTCTAATGCCCTTTAGAAATTGAATTTGAGCAACCTACCCCTCAATCAATGCCTGTTAGGGGATGAAGATTAAAAACCCGGGGTCCTAACTGGGGTTTCTTGCCAGGATTGCCAGTACTGGACACGTGGTAGGTGCTGACTGGAGAGAATTGGACTCTCTTGTGTGATACAGCAGGAGGATAGAGAGGAAAGGCTTCTGGCATGCAAAAAGATAGGAAACACAATTCAAGTCAGCTCTGAACACAAGGGTTTCAGAAGAGAAAAAAACCTGGGGATATGAGGCAAGCTGTAATTCAACACAGTAATCCGAACTACCTCTCTCCTTTACAGAGCCCTGAACTAACCGAGCCAGCTTGTAAAAAGATCTGGCCACCAGCGAGAAACAGCAAGTCCCTGCAAGGACCTGGAAAAGGATCCGGATACGTGAGATGGGGAACAACAGAGAAAAGGTCCCAGTGATGGGGTATGAACACTGTTACGTGGGATACCTGGAATACTGAGTGCTATTTATGTGCTCATATTCCAAAAATCTGCACTGCAAAGAGGTCGGGGGGGAGGGGGGGGGACAAGGCAATAGGAAAATTCCCAGGTGGGGAGAGCTGGAGAGACTGCACATTTTTACAGGCAGATATAAGTGTAGATGAGAACATACTAAGGCACAGAAACAACAGAGACAAAAAATGCCACTAACCCTTCCTCAACTGACACAGAAACAATGATGGACTAGGAAGAGCAAACAGAATCTGGGACCTGCCTTCCTTTCCAGGTGCTGCTCTCTGAAAAGAATAACAGGGCATGCGAAACAGACCCCACCTGCCTATCAAAATCCAGATATTCAGCCCCTACAGAAACTTAAACATACAGCAATGCTACATTTTGTTCTTCTTTTTGTCTGCACGACTTTAAACTGGTTAATTACTGATGGGAAAGAAGTTATTAGCACCACAAGTCAGTGACATACCAAGTCAAAACCAAGGGGTGCTGGAATCCCAGAGGGGGTACATGCCCCAGAGCCAGGGCAGAAGCTGCAATAGATCTGCCCAGGCGCCTACTCAGTTTTTGCCTTTGCCTGCTATCTCTTTACACACAGTGTCAAATTGCCTTTAAGCAGTTGGTCTGTTCCTGGCTGGCATTCACTCAGGAGCCAACTCAGGTGATACTGAGGGATGAAATATCTGCTCCAGCCTCTGCCTTTTCCGAGCCACAGCAGCCATTCCACAGCAACTGGCTAAGACTACTCCAACAGTGCAACGTGAGACGAGTGTTTTCACGGATCAAGTTTCCTCCTCCACGAGCAGATCCCTAGACAACAGACCACTGTAGTGAGAGACAACTGAAACAGGACTTACTGAGTGGTTTAAGGATGCTGCTGCTCGTCTCATCGGCGTTCTCTACGTCTGATTTGTCCGAGTAGTTCTCTGAGATTTTCTCCTTTTCTTTCTTTTCTTTGTGCCCAGGTCTTCTCCTGTGACGCCTCCTCCTCCTGTAGCTCTTCGGCACGTGGACCCCGATGTAAATCGTGTGGTGCCCTGGGGAACACAAGCACACAAGTATTAACTCCAGCTCACGGCACTTTGGGCATCACTGGCCAGCACAGTTCACACTGCCATTCGTAGAATCCCAGACTGGTTTGAGTGGGAAGGGACCTTAAAACCTATCCAGTCCTAAAACCTGTCCCTGCCATAGGCAGGGACAACTCCTACTATCCTAAGTTTTTCCAAGCATGATCCAACCTGGCCTTGGACACTGCCAGGGATGGAGCAGCCACAGCTTCTCTGGGCAAACCTGTGCCAGGGCCTCCCCACCCTCACAGGGAACAATTTCTTCCGTATATCTAACCTAAATTTCCCCTCTTTCAGTTTTAAACCATTAATCCTTGTTCTATTCCTGTCTCACTCAAATAGGCAAGTGAACTATCCTTCTATGCTGGCCTAGCATCAATTAGTTCTGTTTTTATTGCCTTCCAGTGTGAGCTTGGACCTCTGCAGCTTCCATTTGGAAAAGTATTTTTTGTACCTTCATTTCTGAGAGCATACGCCAGTGCAGACTCTCTGGTAATTTTTGTCCTTGTGACTCGTTTAAATATAAAACAGAAGGCCATCATACTCATTTTGTAATTTTGACTAGAGTGCTCTCCAAACACATTCTACACTAATTTTTCCATTTGTTTTACCAAATACATCAGCTGGACTTAACAACTACCATGTGCCAACTGATTCAGCTTAATTGAAGAGCTTAGGCCAACAAAATCTACATCACTTGAGAGTGCAGTCTATTGTATAAGAAGTGTCAAAGTGCCATTAGGTACCTCTATACAGGTGCCCTTAGAGAGGTCCCATGTTCTAGTACCATTAGGGTGTTGTAACACAGCAGAGGAGGAGGGACTACTCTCAGAAGTTCCTGTCAATTCCCGAGCACTCCTCAATTTCCAAAACAAAAATTAACATTACAATAACAGAGTGAGTGCCAAATGTCATATGCTGCATGTAAACCCCAGGGATGCCTTTCCCCTTGCGCTGAGACTCTCTTTTCAAACCAAAGCACCGCAGCCACATTTGCCAATTGTTAAGTTGAGTTTGATAAAAATGTTTTCTTTTCGGGGCTTTCTGCACTTCTGCCCCATCCAACCTGGCCTTGGACACTTCCAGGGATGGAAGGAACAGAAATGCAGGGTTGAGCAGGGTACAAACTCAGAACAGTGACAGGAGAACAGTGGCGTGTGTGCTGCCCCCAGCCCGGCGTGCCAGCACTGCCATCTGCGAGGAATGGCATCACACCACACAGGGAACAGGCAGGGCCACGGAGGCATCTGCAGCAAGACCTTCGGATCGACACCTGAAGATCCGATTTAGCTCTTGCGTGCCAAAGGAAACCCAGAAAGCTCTCCCAGCAACTGGAAACATCAGCTTTAACGTGGCAGATGGCTCCTAAACGCCGCACAGGGACAGCGAAGGGGAGATCTTATCGGAGCTCGAGCAGGAGCTGCAGGGTGACCCCGGACACACAGGGCACTGGTAGCCCTTCCCAGGGGATTCTCACACCCGAGATTGTATCCAGGAGCCTGATGCGAAAGGTTATTTGTATTAAATGACATCCTCCTTCGAATCACTTGAATTCTGTGGTCAGCTTGATAATAGAAACACATCACAGTAAGCCTGCAGTCTTAATACTTTAATATGCTGCCAACAGAACTGGACAATCTCTTTAATCTTTGGACCACGTGTGTGCAGTACAGATTTTGGTAACATGAAACTCAGTTGCATATACGCAGGCAAACATCTGCATTACTTTGCTGCTTTTCCCTCGTCTGAAGGCAGAGACTTATTTAATGTTGCTGTCCGTGTCCCCACCTCTGCCCCCTCCCAGTCTCTTCACGGAGGCCAAGCAAGACATTTTCCTCCTCTGTGTATTTCAAGTGTTTGGCATCTGTTTATATTGTTCCAAATGCTGAGATAAACTTCTAGGCTCCCTTCCCAAAGCGCCTGGAAGGAAACAATTGACACATACTCTCAATGCACCGGGCTCCTGAGACATTTCCGACTCACCGGGGGGAGCCCAGCCTTTCCCATGAGAACCAGTGGCTGCAAAAGGCAATGCCTGAGAAATGTAACGTGGCACACAGGCACTGGGCTGGGATCCTACGGCTTGGGGACGCTGGGAAGCACGGAGCCCAGCGCTGAACTGCTCCTGCTAACCCAGGGCCACACTTTGGCCTTGTACTCACTCCCAGCACGGTTCCTCCTGAGGGGCTGTTCCCATCGCCCTCCCCGCTCCCCCCAGGGAATCCATTACCCTCTGTGTGCACCTCAATAATTTTCAGAGCTGTTTTGGCTGACCAGCGTGTATTTCACAACACTTGGACCCCACCTGCAGGTCCCGGTGGCACCGGTTCTGTTCTATAGGACAGGAGTGGGGCTGGGGCTTCCAGCTGCTTATACCAGCTGCTGCTAAAACCCTTGAAGTCTGTGCCCAAGGAGAATCTTTACTGTGCACCAAGCTCACAGCAAAATCATTTCATCTGATTATTAATCAAGCAAGAAATAGTCATCATCACTGAGGTGCTCCTGGAAAAATTCAGTTGAAACCACACCTTTTACTTTATTACAAGCTACTGAAGAACAGCAGTTCATGATTCAGCACCCAGATTTGGAGTCTGGGCACAGCAAACTCCCTGAGTCAGTTCTACTGGTGAAAACGCACTTGTGTGTCACCCCAGCTGAAGTTCTGTGAAATGCAGCACTCCCTCCCCTTCCCTGCCTGCAGGAATATCTGCTCTTCATCATCTAGGCCAGGTTGGACAGGGTTTGGAATAATCTGGTCTAGTCAAAGGTGTCCCTGCCCACAGCAGGGTTTTGGATTTAGGTATCTTTAAGGTCCCTTCCAACCCCAAACCATTGTGAAAGAACACTTTATTTATGATCCTCTCCATTTTTAAGCGTTAACTCTTTTAAGAAAAGGGTGGCAGTGGAATGGCTTTTGCTTAGCAAAAGCAAAACTTGGTCACTTGGAGAAAGGAGCCAAAAGTTACAGGATCAAAGGATAAAGTCTGCCTGCTACATCTGAGAAGGAATCCCTTCCACCAAGACTGTGTTCTTGAGACTCAGAGCCTGGTCAGACCAGCTCATAAAGGATCTCACACTGGCACTTCAGAAGGAAACAAGATCAAAATCTAATATTAAAAAATGCATGAAGGACTGAAAATGAGCTGAGCATCAGCAGTTTTCACCCAGCCCTTGTTTCTTCTCTCAAGGCTCCTTTCCACAGGACAGGGAGAGTCACATTAAACCCGGTGACCCCCCCGACAGGTTCACATGGTTACAGCTGACATGTCCACAGAGCCAAAACCTTCTCCACCAGCTCTGGCCACTCGCACCCCCTCCCACATTGGGCACCCCCTCGTCCCCAGGCTCTCAGGGGCAGATGCTTTGGGCCACCCTCACCACGGGCTCTTCTCGGGAGGAGTCACCCGAGAGGGGCAGGGGACGCAGCCCACCACATGCTTCGTCAGCAGAAGACGGCACAGCTTGGTGGCCGAGGGGCTGGCACGTCACCAAGCCTCCAGAGACGTGGCACTGGCCAGGACGCTGCTGGGATCGCAGCCAGGCTGCTTTTCCAACCCAGCGGTGGCGGCAGAAGGTGCTTCTCATTTTGTGTGAGAGTCGAAGGAAATTAATGACACAAAAAGCTGATGGCCCAGAAGGACAAATAAATCAGAGGGATGATCCATTTTAAAAAGGGGAGATACTAAAAGTAGCGCTAAGGAAGTCCCAAACTAAGCCCTGCTTAGTTTCAAATCAGCTCAAGAAATAAGAACAAAAGGCCGTGCCGTCATGTGCCTGGTGCCCTTAGCTCTACCTGGTTTTAAAGGGAATTACAGGTGCTGGTGGCAGCAGAGGAGCAGATGCAGGATCTACATCCTGACCATCTCCACCCATTAATGCACACGGACACAGACACTGAATTCCACAAGGAACACCAAGCCGTAAGCAGTTCTCTAGATGGGCTGCCCAGGCACAGCCCCAGGCTCACACAGTGGTCCCCACAGGATTTTCAGAACATCCTGATATTCAGGTGACCAATTTTCCACACAAGTAAAAACCCATCGATCAGGGAAAAAGCAGCAGGATTCAGTGATCACTTTGTGGAAATCTGGACACACCAGTTGGAGATACATCAGATCCAAATCCCTTCTTCTATAAACAACAGTAGTGGGCAATGAACTGATTCTTCCATCACGTGGCAGTTTGCCAAGGAAAAGGGTCAGTGTGAATCCATCAGGCAACAGAAACAAGCTCCATAAGGCTGAGTATGGGCTTCACAGTCTGATAAATGCCATCAGGAGAGGAGCCTGCCCTGAGAGAAAGGCAGGAAAGGGCAAAATATAAAAGAGGCTTCAGGAGAGACCACCCTGAGCTACTGTGCCATGGACAAAGGAGAGAAGAAGGGACAAGATTAGAGCAACAGGGATTCTTTTCAAGTCTGCCAGCTCTGACAAAAGAATCCCACATTCATGGTTAGGATTCAAGAGAGGACCCTGCATCAGCAGTGAAGATGCAGTTAATCAAGGGTGGAACTTGTCCAAAGATCATTTTATATATCTGCATTACTGCACTTCATATCCTAACATGCAGTCCTTGACTCAAATCCCTACAAGGGGCAAGGAATGAGCTGTGCAGGGGAAGACAGCATGAGAATTGGAGACTGTTTTTTCCACTTCTTCTGTTAACATCAGACTTCTAAAACTTCAATATCTTTAAAAGGTCAGATCCATCTTCATGTAAAGTGACCTGAAAAGATTCCCATGTAACACCACCACGGTTAGGCAGAGGGGAAGCCTGCCCAGCCATCTGCCTAAAGCTTGCACTCCTCTGTTCCAGACAGCTGATGGATGACCCAGACTGGACCTGTCGGGTTCCTAACAAGATCCAGAGGCCACTCCAAGTGAAACATGTAAAAGGGGAGTTAGCAAAGTCAGTCAGGAGAGTGGCAGTGAAATAAGGGGTGGACATTGCTCAGACAGCACAATGAA